TTATGTACCCACTTTGTTGTGCTCGCGTGTAGTGAATGCGATCAGCGCACAATCACGCCGTTGCGTTAAGCTGTAAGTGACGCTAATAAAATTAAACTCCCATCAGTAAAGAGCGTGTAATAAACTTGTTGAGTGTGTGCGTACATATGTATGAAATAAAAAGGGGGAATAATATTATGAAAAGTGCAAAACTTGCAGTGAAATTAGTACAAAATTTCTCGAGTATGCAATGCTGACCCAATGAACTACTGTGGCACGCAGGAAAAAAATTAAGGGGGGATTTATAGGGTTAAAAGTTTGTGAATTTTAGGCTGAAAAAAGAAGATTTGATGCGAGCGTACTCGGCATTTCATTGATAAGCAAAAAGATATTCAGGAAATTGTGCAAGCAATAGGCGGAGGAGCCGCATTGGAATGGTGCCTCTGAAAAGCGGTTTAAAAGTAGATATAATTTTTTCTAACATTAAATTTACTCTGTTATTATTCAAAGCACTCCAAGTGAGATCAATTACAATCGAAACATGCGGAAGCACTATTTTCCCATCCACAGTTTCCCAGTCATTTTTCAAACCCCCTCAGCATGCGCCACTGGCGACTGCCAGCCGTCGTAGTCATTTAAATTAGGCCACTTCTCATAATTGGCAATTGTGTAAATCGCCTCATCGCAGAAGTTGTATTTAACGAGCGGACTCGAATTCGCGTAATGCCAATTCCGGAATTTCAATGTCAACCGTCGCAGCCGCAAACCATGTTTACATGCATGACTCCCCGACTTTCAGTAACATACCGTAACACATATTCATATTGACCTTGGAATTGAACTTGAAACAATTACATACATAACAATTACTCGAGCGACCTTGAGAAAATGGGAGACGCACGAAACTGCAAGCACACGGGTTCGTATTTTGCTATGTGCTGCGCCTGTGCTAAAAAACAAAAAACAACATACACAACGCCCCGCCACCAACTTTGCGCTCATGTCTGGCAAGCCTGTCAGCGGAAACCAGTTCACCACTTCAATTGCTGAACGAGGTGGCGTGCACAAAATATGTACATATGTTGCGTTAATTCCTGCTGCTCGGATGCTGCCGTTGCCGCTGCTACCTAGTGCTCTAATTGAATTTTTATTTTTTCTGTCTCACGCAAAACGACGCGCTATCCCCAAGGAGGCGCGTTGATGCAACAGCAACAACAATAGCAACAGCAGTTTAATAACAGCGTCACACTACAGTGCACAGTGGCCAAGTTTTGGAAAACCCTGGCCAAAAGTCCAAAAAAAAAAAATTGATGCATTCGTACGCATATCCAAATTATATTGTTAAGTGGGCTCTACTGCGTATCGTTATGAGGCAACAAGTCGATTCTCTTAAGGCATTTAGGGCGGTATTGTCACTTCCGAAGCGAATGAATTTGGCGAAGCGAACGGTTTGGCGAAGCGAATGGATTGGCGGACGCAACTTAAATATGCATTAAGAGTGTTCGCTTTTACCAGCTTGTGCAAGTTCTTTGCATCGCGAATACTTTTATTACCTTCTCTGCCTTTTAATTCGCTTCGCCAAACCGTTCGCTTCGGCAAACTCATTCGCCTCGCAAGTGATAATCCCACCCTTAGTGTTACAGGAGATCGAAGTGCCTGGTGCTAGCAATTCGCTCTAAACTTTTCGTAAATTAGAGTTTTCGTCGTTGTTAAAATTGTGGTATTATCTTAACTTTTGTTTACTCATTATTATAAATTAGGAAAATAGTTACGAGAGGGGTCGAGATGGGCGGTCTAATTTTCTTTTTCATATATATTGAAGTTTTTCCCATTCACCTTGGTTAAAACCACCTGCCACAAGCCGCCACTGTAGTTTGGACATCAGTAAAAAATTATTGCTGTCAAGGTTTGATGTTTTAAAGATGGGATGTTTTTAGAATTTAAATGATGTCAGAAAGTACTACTATATTAGAGTGCACTCGGCGTGAAATTGTCGATGCATTGTTTAAACAATTGCATTTGGAAGTGGGTGTAAAGACCAAAAGTCTGGAGGAACATCTATCTAAAAAAGAAAATAAAACTATCACGCTCCATCCAGACCAAAGAAGGGAAATGGAAGATTTACTTACTACTATAAAAAGAAAATGGGACGAGAGTAACAGAACAACTGCACGCTTCCTTGTAAAAAAAAAATCAAAAAATGGTTGCAGAAGGTAGTAAAATTACAAGTACGATTACCAACTCTCAACTAATCATACAACTTTTTATTATTTATTACAATTTACGTACGACTTGCAGATGCATTTTACAGTTGACCTAGAAATGATGGAATGGAACAATCAAGATATTCCTAAATGCTCCAAAAAGAAAGTCGACCTTGTAAAGAATTCGAGGACGCGAGCGAGAGAACAAAACGGAGAATTACAAAAGATTTGCGCAGATCACACAGTCCGGCCGAAGTTGCTAATAGTATCAAAGACACCACGACCACATCTCCAACCCGAGCCTCTAAATAACAGTCAGCTTTTAAATCCGCATCTCTCCCACACCAGACACAAATCACTAGCGATCTGGCGCTTTCAGATGTTGTGAAAGGCAAAATGACGCGGCCATTATGGATCCGCCACTTTGAATTTCGAAAATATGTGGTGAAATTTAAAACCAGAAACCAAAATAAATACGGACACAAGGTTTGATTACAATTGCACCACGCTTCGACTTTTGGCCAGCTTTTTGCAAAAATTGGCCCCTGTGCAGTGGCAGCGCTATAATAGTGTCGAGTTAATTGTGGGATGGGTGGTAATTTAATTATCAACGCAATGCGGCGAACGCGCATAATAATCACTTATTAAGGCGCAAAGGGTAAACATTGACGCAGCGGCGTGTACGATACTGCCGTGGCAGCGCCAATGAATTGCGGCTGTAAAAATCATTAAAACCAGTAAAACATCGAGCGCGCAGAGTGTCGCACGGCGGCGTTGATTATGCACTTGTGCACTCGTGTACATGTGGATTGTATTGTTGCGGCGCGCTGGTGCTGATAGTATTGCACGTGAGCAGCAAGCGTGATCGACGGCGGCGACGCGGTGAAATAAACCAAAACGACGCAGTGCGAACTGCATGAAACCATTTATTGCGCGGATACAAATGCCACTACTTATATATGTATATGTATGTGTACTTATGTATGCATATGTGTAGGCGTCCGGTGTAAAAGCGTAAAAGGAAAATGCCGCCACCATCCCCACCCTAGCTTAGATATCTAATGATTGCGCACTGACAGGCGAAATGAGTTGTAATTAAAGCAAACGCACAGTGGAAATACAAAGTACTTATACCATTGTGCTTACACATGCATACATACATACATATATAGTATGTATGTAAAGAGGCGAGCGCAGCTAGCGTGACACCAAACTGGCAGAGAATATCTAAAAGTGGAGTAGAGCAGCTGAGGATGTCGGTTTACTCACAAGCCAGATTCACGCAGAGCAGTCAGAAGGAAGCCAGTGTGGAGACAGCAAGTCAAACGACGCACGAGATGTTGATAGCAGCTCGGCCACAACAACAACAACAACAACAAGCAATAACAACAATTATCAACAAAAAACTGGTATTCACTGATTATGACCAGCTGATTGAGAATGTTGCACGCGATCAATGAAAGGGAATGTACAAAGGGCGTTGAATGCAGCACCCAAGGGTGAGAAGGTAGAAGGAAAGGTTGGCTGTATTTGATTCAGTTGGGAGTGTAAAGAGTTTTTAGAAAAGAAGAAATACAAAATCATCTGCTTTGAAGACCTGTTGAGCAGGTATGTCCAAGCAGGTGGTGTTGCCAGGGTAGCCTGTGATGAAGATTGAAAAACTGAACTTAAGCGGAATATTCATTCATCATCGAGTGAACCAGTTTTAGTTGTGAAGTTAGACAAGTCATTAGAAATCCAAAAAAAAAATACTTTTATGTAGGAATTATTACCCTTTTAGAGTGATGAAAACGCGCTCGGTTCTAAGCGATCGCGGTAGGGAACGCTTGCCTGAAAAAACTTAGTATTGTGCTTAACGCGCCACTGCATCGAAGTTGAAGCAGAATTCAGAATCCAAAACGCATTGAATTTCGTCAAATTTCCGCACTTTATCCGATTTTAGAGACAAATCAACATAATCTTGCGAACTTCCAATCAAATTTCCAGATTATGTTTATATTTTCGCATACACATGCGTCTTATCACTCAACGCAGCTCAAAAGGTAAACAAAAGCCCAGCAGCATGCATCAACATAGTACAACAACAAACACAATCGCCAATTAATTTCGCGCACTACACGCGCGCCAGCTTCTCAACCCAATAGCGCAGACTTTAGCGATAACAATTTTCCCCGCTCAGCTTTGGCGCATTACTTCATGCGCTCGCGCTCTCCGCAGCATCTCAACTCAGATAACACCGCGCCATTGCTTGTATTGTAATTGCCGGCAAGTGCAGCAGTAGCAGCAGCAAAACAAGAAAGGCACAAAAAAACAACAATACAAAAAAACGCGGCGTTATTATGATTTTAACTGATTATTATATTTACGCGCTGCCGTAACACCAACGCCACCATCACACATACATGCGCGCGCCGGTCGCTTTTGCGCCACCATACACCAAACAGAGCTCCACCACACTCCACGCCATCAGCTGCGCGTCATCAGTCTCGCTAGTGTCGCAGCAACCTGTCGCTTTCTTGTTTGTTTATATATGAGTATTGTTATGGTTATTTTTTTTCGTATTTGTTTCGGGGAGCTCCACTGCTCCACTGAGCAAACGGATTCGAACAGCTGTGCGTACGAATGCGCGCTCGTCGCCTTTTTTGCTCTTGTTATTTTAGCGTATCGTTGGCGAGCGTATGCCGCGCTGACGATCGGATCTGATCGGAAAAGATCGCCGCAACTCTCATGGAACGTCGGCGGCAGCGCCGCCAATGCAGCCACACAAAAGTAGGCAGCAATCTGCCGGCGAGTTGCAGTCTTTGAGAAACGCGCGCATTTGAAGGTTTGAAGGCGGCTAAAGCAAGCAATCCCAGGAAACTAGTGCCAATAAGAACGGGAAAGCGCACGTATGGTAGTTAAAGCATTTTTCTAAAATAATAAAAAAAATAAATAAAGTATTTATTGCAAAGAAAGCGGATACGGATATCAGTGCGAAAAGAATATGAGTATCAAATAGAATGTCTGCGTAAATCATGAGCTGAATATAACAAAAATTAATGAGCTAGAAAGTGATAAAAATAATTTGAAACTATCGGTTGTAAACCATACAAAAAGAAGAAGTGTGCAATAGAAATGCTTCCAATTAAGCATAAAATAAATTTGTTGTGATGCATTAGGAAATGCGTTGATGCTTGTTTGAATCAAAAGTGATAAGGATCCAAGATCCATTGTGTAAAATTGGAAATTCTACATACATATTTTGTATGTGTGTGTGAAGGAGCTGCTTAGATTTGTGGCAAAGTTTTGATGGTGTTACGAAAAGATTATAAAAAGAAAATTTTGATTCTCAAACCGTAAATAAGGTAAATATTTCAAAAATATTTCTAAAAAAAATTTATTGATAAGACTTTTCTAAAGTGTGATGTGCTATACCGGAATGATATCTAAGTGCTCAGCCACCGCCAGGTGTCTTCGAAATCCCACTTGAAACTCATAAAATAAACTTCCTATCGATTTCGCCCAAATTAGTTTGGCTTTCAGAATATGGCGACTGGCGTGACATGACAGTAATAAAATAGGTGGTTAGGGAATGAACCAGCAACATAACGATACATTTGTGATTAGCAGTCAATAGTAGACATATCCGCTGATCAAGCATTATGACTCTAATAAGTGGAAGCTGTGTATTAATGTAATGTGACAATATCCTAATTTATCTAGCAACCAACTACGAGAATGCTCTGGTGTGCCTTATCCTAGGCATGCAAAACAATTATACAGTCGTCTGGTAGGGTATTTTTAAAAAACAATATTCCACTTTTGTAAAAATTTAAGAGCACCGATCTTTGCTTCAGGAGGGCTATTGCGTATAGGTTGCACCACAGCTCATTGACTAAATGAGTTGAGTGCTACCTTACATACTGCATAAAGCTGATGACTAGAATACCTAAGAGTATATTCAGACAGGCCGCTAATCGGCAATTGGCCAAGCTTTCTCGATTAAGACGCTAATTGAGCTCGATTTACCATACAAAATTTTAACTTTGAGGTATGTTTCTGGTCCTCTTTTACAGCTGATATTCCAACAAGGATGGTTCAAATTGTACCTAATTTGCGGAAAAAATTTACGTAAAAGAAGAAGAAAAATGTACCTAAATGTATTTATGTGTTTATTTTAAAGAAAATAAGAGGATAATCTACTCTTCGTTATCATATCAACTTGTGGACTCACATTAAGCAAAATTTGGCTATGAAACGAATCTCTGCGCGCAGTTCGAGACAAAACTATGTTTTCTGGGAGGTGAATCTAAAAAGAAATATTAACTTACTATTTGGCGTAATCAGGTACAGTTACGTTACTTTGACCACCCTTTTCTATCATTTGTGTGCCACTTCATAAAGGAAGGAAGCTATTGGACAAGTTACCTACACCAGGAAATGCGTTGAAATGTGAATAAAAATAAGAACTGATTTCCTGAAAAGTGATTTGACTACGTTCCAAATGTACCAACTAAATAAAGGATAACACCAACTTTTCCATCAAGGTAGCTTATCGAGCAGCGACTGAGTGTGAACACCAAAAAGCGGTTACTCGATTAGAAGGTTAATTGAATCAATTAAATTTCTATCTGAGCTTAATATAACATATCCTCCCTTGGGAAAATGTGGGTAACCGTATCTTTCCTTATTAACTCGTCAGCCTCGCACTCAGCCTCCATGTGTATGGGGCCATCTCGTTTAAAGATCTACGGCTTTAAGTAAGCGACATTGCTATGTTCACTCGTGAGTCTAAAGGCTTTCCAGAGCTACCTGACTGTATACGAAAACAAAAAAACACCAACTCTTCTCCTTCAAATTACAATTTTTTAGACAAGCTTACAGTGTTTTAAATTACTTTCGGTTTTTCGTAAGTCAAACTTTAAGGTAAAAGGGGATGTTGAAAGAGCAGAGTTTGCCTATTTGAAACAAATGGTTTCAGCTGTCCTTTTTATTCCAGTCGCCACAACAAATTTGGAAAGAATATTTTTGCAAATCAATTTGAATAAAACAAGAAATAAACTAGAAGATTTCTTTAAAAAATCCTTCAGAAGGTACTAAATTTAAGGTATCGTATCAAATGCTCAAAGCAAAGCAATTTACGAAAAATAATAAAACTGAATTTTATTCAAACAAATGTAATTTAAATGTTCCAGTTTATAAATTCTTTTTTTTTTTTTGCTTAGCTAGTTACCTATAATTTAAATGGTTAATATAAGTTCATTTTAATAGTTTTTTTTTTTGTTATTTATGTTTTATACAATCAAAAAAAAAAACTTAATTTTTCAAAAACTCCCTTCGCCTTGATGGTCACAGTTTTTTAGTTAGTTATTTTGTGAAAATTTACAGTTTTTTGAAAAAAAAATCTTGCAACACTGCGCTTCATATATGATCAGCGAACTGTAAAGATATCTCCAGGCTCAGTAATGACGAAGAAATTTCTGCTTCGTCTTTTCCTTCAAGTTTGGAGCCATCTGTATAAAATTGCATGGCATTAGACATCAGAATGAAAGGTCTGCTGTAACAGTACTGTCGTCGAGCTGGTATTGATTGCCTAAGATAGCCAACCGAGTGCCGTGAGATGACTCGAATCATGGACCGGCTTCTTTAAGTACTACTGATGCAATAACGGTCACTTCTCGAACGTCTGTAAGCTTGGACAAAAGCGTCTCCCTTACCTTTATGCAGTACATTTCGGTCTCTTTTTATGCGGTACATGCGTTCTTCAGAAAGCCGCACAAAAAAAAAACCGCATAAAAAAGTTATTTCATACAAAAACAGGGGGAAGGCATCCCCGCATAAATTCAGGTACTCCGTGAAAAAAATTCTTAAAAAACGCATAAAAATATCTAGTGGGGCAATATCAAGCAAAAAAAAATAACAATTTATTTATTCACTTCAACACTTATTATTCCATATAAAACTGATCATTAATGAAATAAATAAATAACTGAAAAAAAGTCATAAAAACTCTCAATAGCGAAAAAATGGTTTGATAAATTCAAATCCACATAAAAAAACTGCATAAAAATAGACCTAAGTTTACTGCACTTTTTGTATCCTTTGTAGGTTCCTAAGCGCAATTAAGCAGGCTTTGAAATTGCTTGACTATTTTCAATGCATTCGCAGTTACTTAACTACGACTAACACAAATAAATCAGCAAAAGCAGACAGCAAAAGCGAAAAAGAAAAATTATCTCATTTGCTTCAGCTTATAGAGCTGTTTGTTTTTGCTTACACACTGTCAGCCGAAGCAACCAGTTTAGAAAAATTTGCTGTTGCTGCAAGCAGCAAGTTTGGTGTATTCTCAGTTTTGCTTTCGATTTTTTCCCTCGACTTATTTAGAATCGGGTCAACCATTAGTTGGATATTTCCACACATTTAGAAACTACGACTTTCTGCCACTCTCAGTCCACTGTGCGGCTATGTCTTTGCAAAGCAACTTGACCAAAATACTTAGCATCATTTTTTAAAATAAAGTTATGAGATTCAGCACTTCATGCCGTCTTGTAAAGACAACCAGCTCAGCCTTGGCAAGGTTTGCCTTTTTCAAACAGGTAACTAGTGAAGCAAGAGAGTTCTACTAGATCGCATAAAGTCTTGTATCTATTTGCCTACTCCTATGGGGTGCCCTTTTTGAGCGACCTCCGAATCGCAAGACCTTTTAGCTCCGAGCTAACTATATTGTAGATCTGAAGTTGGAGGATGAGGCCAACCAGGAACTTGGCTACACAAAGAAACGTCAGTTCTGACGTAATCAATTAATTACTTAAATATTAAGCAAATGACTGAAGAAAAAAGAACAATCGTTCATAATTAAGCGCCACTCAAAGCATACAGACCATACATACATATGTGCATATAAAAAGAACAACATGAGTGTTGCGAAAAAAACATTAACAAAAAAAGGAATTAACCAACTAAGTGATTAGCAAAAGCTACAATAATTAATTCTATCATTCAAACAGATAAAAGTGGGAATGGTTCATAAGCACAGCTACTTAATTATGTTTTAAACTTCTGCTGACTTTTTTACCTGCACGCGCCACCGTGGGCGTCAACTGAGAAATGAATAAGCAGATTTAAAATGTAACCTCTTTTTGTGTAGACACAAACAGACATTATGTTTAGACTATATTAATTTTTTATTTATTAAGGCTTTCGCAAAGTCATTGCCAAAAAATAAAATGCTGATGTTATTACAAAATTGTACTGACTAGGCCATGCTTGTTTGTTTGCTTAAGGAGTAAATATTTAAAATAATTGCATGAAGTAGTTTTTAGGCCCAATTCTTTACAGCTCATTTAGATCAAATTACATCATTATCATCAAGTAGCTGCCATAACAATGGCTTCATGCGTTTATAAAAAAATGTATACACGTGAATTTTTTCACTCCACATTATTCACCAATCAGTTTATGTAAAATGCTTATAATGCTATGTATGTATGTATGTATGTATGTAGTATAGACTTTCGAAATTAAAGTAACTTAATATGTATTATGATTTCGCAATTTGGCTGGAGAATAAATAAAGGAGAACTAAAGCGCACGAAAAAAATTTTGTGAAGTTACGTAATTAACGGATTTTAGCATAAACGGAAAAGAAGAAATTGCATATACGACAACAAACAACCATGAATGAAATTTTGTTTCAAAACAGCAAGCTATCTCGTAAATGTAAAGCAGAATATACACAAGCAGACTTGTCTGTACTACATGTCAAGTATGACATACCGTCGCATCGTGGATAGCCGGGTGTGCATACCAAATTTTAGCTCTGCAGACATGTATGAAGAAATTTTAAATTTTTCAATTTTTCTGCTCGTTGTTGCGACAGGTATAAACGTTTATAGTACACAATGCAGACAGAACCTTGGCGGAATTATACCAGGTGAAGTAATTAAAGCGAGAAGAAAGATTTTGACACTGCCTTATTTGAAAAATTGCCTTTAAAATTTGACTATACGACAGCCGAAGGCCAAAAATTACTTCGACTGTTAATTACGCCATGGACAGAACTTTCATATTGGTATAGAAAAGTTCAAAACCAGCAAACATTTGGAGTCACAAATAAGTCATATCTTTACATTAAAATAATAAATTTTAATAGTTTTCTTTTTTTTATTAAATAAAAAATTACTAGTCACGACTTTTTCCATTTCAGTGACGATGTTTGTTACGCCTTTTTGCATTTCAGGTGACGATATTTATAATAAAGAAACGAATATATACATACATACATACATATATGTATGACAGAAACTTTCCTTTACGTTGTGTGCGCGGTGAGCGGAGCGCGGCTCCTCCCATATCCCATTTTAGA